CTCTTCCGTGTTCAGAATCCATTTCTCTTTTGCCTGAGCATTTTCTTTATTTCATCGTTACCTTTCTTTGGACATCAGATTGAACCAGTAGGTTATCCTCTCATAATTACAGCCCCTGATAATTGGTAGGATCAGATTATCATCTTACTACATGCGTTGACCTCCCCTTAGTTCTACTTAGTAACTTTCGACCTTCCTAAAACTTATAGTAAAAGACATGGTTAAGAATACGCACTAAAGAAAATGAAAAAAAACTTTAAAGATAAAAAAGCTTTTGAAATCAAAAAGTTTAGTTGGATTGAAAGCAAAAAAGTAAAAAGGTAAAAAATTAAAGTCTTAACGACTTTTTATATAGACATGCTACAAATCAAATAAATGACATAGGTCGCGTCGTATGTCATATCAAAAGTGGAAATATGTCTTTTTATTTTCTCATTTTAAATTTTTTCACTCAAGCTACCTCTTTCCTCATTTAATGCTATTAGACCGGCCTAACTAAACGAGCCTCAAGTCGGATCAACTAAATTAAATGACTCTTTTAGTCAAATCAAGAGACCGATTCATCGTCAGAGTCCAAAGTGGAGGTCAAATCCAAGTTTTTGAAATAAAATACAAATCTCACCATGGCCAAACAAACTCTAGCACTAACCTTGAATCGTTTCGAACAATTATCACCTTGGTAACCTTTAAGCTGGCTATGCACTCAACCTAAGATACACATGCAAGATCAAATAACCATAAGGTCAAATCGTGGCTTAAGGCCAGTTATCCCTTAAGACTAACCTCTCTTTATAATGTTAATTTCAAAAAATTAAACTTTCAAGTTATCTCTTTTTGCCAACTTGCCCTACACTAGAGGTGTCGATCATACATTAGGCAATTTGATACTTAGAGCGCTTGGTGGAGGACAAAATGTTAGAGATATTTGATGGTAAAAAAGATATAGTGATATTTTTTCCTCTATGAAGCTTTTAGTAAACAACCAAGATTATTTTTGTCATTTGTGTCGACCTAACATGTCAGATCGATCTAACATACTCAGTGCCACATAAGTTTGGTACTATTTTTATTATCCCCTGATGGTCCCCCACAGGTTACTTATAAATGTGAATGTTTAAGCACCATGAAGGCAAGTCCATTTTACTCACTTTTTTTCTTTTTTTTTTTTCTTTTTGACTTGAATCTTTTTGACTTGCGCGTCGAAATGTAAACATAGGAAACACACCCTTACCTTTGCCTTTAACTGCCATACTTTTTTACTTTTCCAAGAACATTATGAGGTTGGAGCTTGGCACAAATACCTTCTACAAATCTATAGATCATATCTATCTGGTCAATTTGAGTCTGATTCGAAGGTCGATTATTCTCATCATAATGAAACTAATGACATGGATCTTAAAGAACTTGAAGATTCTACCAACCTCATTATTCAAAATCTCGTCAAACCTGTTACCTCTATGTTTTTTTTTTTTGCCTATCTTTTCTACAACTAACTTCGAATCCTCACTTGTTGAGGTTATAAGATCCTTAAAAGGATGGGTAGCTCCTAGGACTATCCCAATCTTTGCACATCTTACCACTTATCCAAATTCAAGCTTTCATTTGGCCTTTCTGAGCGTCTTTTTGTTGAAAACTTCAATTCAAACAAGAGTACTTATTAAAATATCATGAGAGTACAATGAAAGAAAAAGTAAGAAATGCTCTTTAGAGTAGCATTTGAAAAACACTTTTTTGGGATGTTTTATGAAAAATTTCTTATCATAAAAACTTTTAGAATAATACATGAATGCTCTTTTTAAGAAATATTACGTAGTGTGAAGTAAAATGAATAGCAAAACATTTCTTAAAAATGATTTTTTTATGATGTTGTGTGAGAATATGAAAGAAGCAATACTTGAAAATTACACATAAGATATTGTAAGTAGGAATATTGTGCTTAAAAGAGTTTCTTGGATAGTTACAAACTATTTGAAAAAAAGAGGATGAGGTGTTATCCAACATAGGTCTAATTATTCATAATGGTAGGGGATGAGTAAAGAAGTTTGATACATGCTTGATAGAACACAGGATGAGAGAAGGAAATGAGGCAGCTCATTCACTTACACAGTATAGTTTGTAGCTAGCTAGCGATAGACTTTAGGTCGAGGATTTTTTGGATTCTATAACTTTAGTTATACTAATGGATATTGCAAGTTTAAATCAATGATAGGGGACCTTATGTTAAAAAAAAAAAAAAGATATTGAATAAGAAACATTTTTTAAGAGTCATTTGTCAAAATAAGACAAGAAATAAGCTTTCTTTAAAAAAAATTCTTGAAGTGACACACAAGTATCAAGTATAAGTGAAACATTTTTTAGATTAATAATATGACATTTCTTAAGATGTTGCACAATAAGTTTTACACAATAAAAAGTATGAAAAATATTTCAATTGTCAATTTTTTAAGAACTTGCATATAAGAGTAAAGTAGTGATAAAAAAAAATAATATAAAATACTTCAATTCTCAACCCTTTTTCTTTTTTTTTTAAGTTTCTGTATATAAAGATAATGTAGTAGTAGAAAATAGCATAATAATCAACTGGATTTCAAGAAGAACTTGTATGAGAGTAGCAAAAAATTTTCTCTTTATGAAAGAAAGTTATAGAAAATGTTTAAATGACCATAACATCTAACTTTTTTTAAAAAGAGTTTATAAATAAGAGTGATGCTAGACTACAATGATTGATTTTCTCTTTGAAACATTTTATATCTAATAGTGATGAAAGTAGTGCAAGGCGACAAAGTGTTTATTGGAAGAACATTTACATAAATTTAATGAAATAGTAAGATTTAAGATGTTTCATTTCCTTTAGAAAGATATTTTTTTAAGAAAATTTCCAAATTTGAAATTAACTATTCTTTTAGATTTGTCTCATCATATGCATTTTTGCTCAATTATTTCCAAAAAGTTTTAAGCATTTCATATGCAAATTACTTTCATAGCAAGGTGAACTTCTTAGCAAACAAGTGGAACAGGATGTGCCGAAGGACAGCAAAGAGAGATTGGAGCAAACCTTAAAGTATTGAGTGTAGCAGTAGGTGGTGGTAGGTGGTGAGATAAGGCTGAGTAGAGAAGAGAATAAGGCTGAGAAAAAGATTTAAGAAGAGAAAATTACAGGGAGAATTAAATACATTTGTCAAAAGTCTCCAAAAATCCCCTAAATGAATTGTAGAAACTCTTATTTATAGATTTCAAGAATAAGAGTTACATGTATTGAGTATTGAAATAGTAATAATGGTGAAATTGATAATTATAAAAGGTGTTAATATATTAAATATGAATAATGGTGAATAATGAGAGAATTGGCTGCTACAAAAGGTTTTAATGTATTGATTAATGCGAGTTTAATTAACTTCTTATGATAGACATAATGAACATAGAAGTTCATTATATGTTCTGAAAGAAAGGGATAAGTGTACATACTTCAGAAAAGAGCTAAGAGAAGATATCTGAACTACCTTCATATTTGATCTACCAAGTTTGACCCTCCTTAACATCCTAATAGTGGAATTAACCTAAGAACCTTGCCATATTTCGATGCTATTTTTACTTTTTTATTTGATGAAGTAACATTTGGTAAAATGTATTTTGTGGAATAATTGTTAGTGAAATAACTTTTAGTGAAAGAGTTTTGGTAAAAATATTGGCTTTATTCTTTGAGGAAGTTGTTCCAAAAATAGCTATTCCATGAAAATGTTGTTCCATGAAGAGTTGTTTTTTGAATAGTTATTCTATGAATAACTGTTATGTGAAAAAGTTGTTCTATGAATAGTTATTTTGTAAAGTAACTTTCACTGAAATAAATTTATTAGTTGTTCTGATTTATTTTCAACTTTAATAATTTTATAAAAATTTAAAATATAAAATATTAGTATTCAAAATCAAGTATCTATAAAATAGCATACAGAAAGAAGAACCTAATGAACACCAAATATATCATAAGCAAATATATATATATATGGAGTATTGTGTTATTAGTCAAAGAAATTCCTGCAGTAACCATTTTCAAAATATTCCTCACACATGCAAGGTAGACAATTTCCATCATAAAGCATTTTAATCTTCTAATTTTGAGGTGATTGTTGTTCATCATCTTATTTTCCTTTCTGGATGTTATGTTGTCTGTAATTGCCTCTTATATTGCCTAGAATGTTATGGTGTCTAAAGTTGCTTCCTATATTGCCTGAATCTAATACTTAAATCGCATAAAAAACAATTGATAACAAATCAAACACCCACTTTCCTTTAAGAAAAAATGCTAATAAAAAATCAATTAAATGAATGAAAATTGGGAGAAACATGCATATATAGATAAAAAATAATGATAATAATGATGAAACCTTGGAAAAGATCATTAGAAAGTGATCTTGTGAATATACCATGTTATTTCAAAATAGATCTGTTTAAAGATCGAGTAATTCATTCAAATTTGAAGATCTTTTTAAATTTTAAGAGAATTTAAATAAAAAATTAAAATTTATTAAACGGATTTGAATATAATTTTTAGATCCGTATAATTTTAAGTTAAGTTTTAGATTAAAAAAATTAAAATTTGAACTCGATTAAACCCAAATAAAATTAAAATTAAAATAGTATAATTATATAAAATATTTTTTTTATTTAAAAAAAAATTTAAATTTTTTTTTATTATATAAATTAAATTTAATAAAATGAGTTTGAGATTTATGTTTTTAATTTGTATCAAACTTAAAAAAATTTGAAAACTCAAAATATCAAATCAAATCAAACTTAAGTAAATATATAAATTATTAATATCAAATATAAATTTAATTTAAACCTAATCTAACTCGATCCCTAACCTATTCTACTTTAAATTCCAAAAAATCCATAGCTAATTATACACGTGGCAACTCAATATTCATCGATACTAAAACACATGGCAAGAACCCTGATGTTAGTACAGCCGCAGAGCCAGCAAAGTAAAGGGGGGAAAAAACATTTTGGCTAAAAACAATAATATGAAAAACATTAGGGGTATAATTACCAAACGTGGAATTAAATTATTTTCGCTCGAGGATTAAGCCCAATTGGCTTTCTGCTTCCCACCAGCTTCTTTTTTTTTTTTTTTTTTTCAATCTGATCCGCGAAATTTCAAAGGAATGGCCTTTTTCCTTCAAAAAAGTAGCCTTGCCAATCACTTCAGATCTTCTTATCAGGTACAGAATTATTTATACATTTTATTTATGTATAGTAATTCAATTTGATATTTATTGGGTCTTTGCTTGATTTGTTAATAGCTCTATCTAACTCTCCGAATTTGTTTACTGAAGCAGAAGACAGAGGGTTCCTTGGCTGTCCCAAATCGAGCATTTCACGTGGAACTTGGGGATCGTGAGAAAGCTGTGAGTCTCCCCTTTTCTGTATCTTTCCCAGTTCAATTTTCCTGATAAAAATATACCCTTTTTCGGTCTTGCTCTTTTAATTTTGTATTGATTGGACAAAAAGGTTGCATTTCTATCATCTGGGTCAGTCAAAGTGCTGTTAAGCTAGAGTTTTGGACTTTATAGGTTGGAATTTATCTATTTTGAATTGAGCTCATATTAATAGATGAAGTGAAGAGTAGAAATTTTTCTTATTTCGAAATATTCAAAAAATTATTTTCTTTTAACTCTCCTTGATCATTGGGAGAGTTACGTGGAACGCGGATTGATTCGGTTCGAGGAAGCGGAACCTGAAAATGCGGTATGATGGATAGTCTTCTTCACTTCACTCAGTATGAGCAAAATTCAAACATTCTGAATGTTTTATATCAATTGTTAATTCAATATATAATTCACTTTAATCTCTAGGAAAATAGCAATTAATTTCTTAGAAAGATTTAAACGGTTTCCTTGTTTTTTTTCGAGGGGAGAGAGCTAGAAGTGATTAGTGATTTTTTTTATATTCTTACATGTGATACTCTGGTGCCATAGTTGGTTCTATTTTGATGTGGAACATGCCCTGCAGCTCTTGGCAAAGGACCCTTCTTTAAGCCGATTTAAATCTTATAAGAAGAATGTGTGGCGACTGAAGAGAATTGGGGATGTTCTGACAATTGTCGTTGTAGCAGGTAAGGCTAGTATTTGCTATAAATTGAATTAATTGGTTCATGATTTTAACTATGTGTGGATAACTCCATAAGAAGTTGGATTTGACTCTTTATGATCCTGTTTGAGGTGCTTCAAATATATCTCTAATATTTATAATGGTTTGAATTGATTTTGGGTAAATTTGGACATTACACTATTTTTGTACTCACCGGAAATCTTCGTTCTTTTCTGTTTTTAATTTTCACTTTCCCCTTCTTTCTTAGAAGGAAAAAAAAACTTGAAATGAAACAAAATTTGTACAAAATCATTTAAAAGCTTAATTTTGAAAGTATACAACCTATGTGGTGATGCATCATCACCTTGTCAATGCTACATTTTAAGAATTCATTGTGTTAATAGCTGCTCCACCCCACTTCTTTTTTTTTTTTTTTTTTAATGGGGATTGAGAAATTGTGGACCAAGTAAGAAAGCATGTTGAATCAATCTTAATAAATTTGATTGATTAGATAGTTAGCTCAGCAATTTCTAGAGTTTGCTGTACAGGCCCTTGCATGAGATCAGAAAGATTTTGGTTGCTATATCACAGTCTGGGGGGTTGATACAAAATTATTGTGTTCAAAATTGTGATGAATGTTCAACTTCATTTTTCTTTCTGGCATTTTATCATTGAATATTTATACTCAAGTTCTCTCCCCATTTGGTTTATATCTTCTTTTTTTTCCCCAACCCTTTGCTTTGGAAAAAGAAGGAAGAAAATTATACTCCTAAACTTGCAGCTTTGCTCATTTTATGTGTGCAATTGAGTGAGAAAGTTCTGTCATGAATTGCTGGCCTATAATATTCAGAATAAATGGTGAGAAGTAGGATACATTAAGCCAATTGCCTTACTAAACCTCAATTGGAGAAGGAAAAAAAAGCTGATGCATTGCTGCTTAAGGAAGACAAACAGTTAAGCGGACGTGCTAAACTTCTTGTATGAGGGTCTAATCTTTGGTTGTTTCAGGTTGTTGCTATGAAATTTATGTCAAGGCAGCAATGCGAGAAGAAGCTCGGAACCAAGCAAAGGCTGCTGGTGGAAGTGAATGAGGCTGTGCATTTTTTGCTTCTGTGCCAAAAGGAAAAAGTGTATGCCTTCAGGTTTTGATTTTCTTTTGGCTGCAATATTTTAACCCTTAATGATTTTGCCTCATTGATAAATAGGCAAAAACAAAATTTGCCGGTGCGACATTCTTGAATATAAGACTCTACTCAGCAAATTTCTTTCAGGTTCTCATCTTTCACAAAATGATTCCAATAATTTAAGAAAATTGCCCATCTGGTTTTTTTGAGTATGCACTGTGACATAAAGAAAACATCCAAACCGTACTGCTGTGTGCTAGTTGGAGAGGTGAAAAAAGAGAAGCAGTGAATGGGTTGCTGTGAAAACCTGCACTCAAATTGCAAAATATTATCCGTTTTGACTCGAAGGTCACACGGTTTTATTTCACAAAAGGGACCACATAAGTTTTAGGTTTAGATCTTTATATATATCATATCATATCCACATATTCTTTCAATGTGAGATTGAGGGCGTTACAGTTGCATTTTACTTCAGCAAATGCTTAATCGCATGATATGTTACTGGAACTAGGTATTAGGCAAGATTAAGGTTTTGGGATGTTGTCATCTCATTTGGCTTATAATTCTGGTTCAAGAATGCAGGTTTTGTTGTCACTCTGTGCACACATTATCATAGCATGTGGGTTGTAGATGATCATGCTCTGTTAATTGTGCTTCAATGGTTTAATCATGTCGATCATTTTTCAATACAGTTGCCATTGAAAGGAGTTAATCACACTTTTAGAATCTGAATTTTAAAAAAATATACAAATTAATACCTAAAAAAAATAAAATGTACAATTTGCATATTGAATTTTCAAATAATATATCATTTAGGCTCAAATTCTAATATTATTAATTTAATCAGTTTATATTGTAATAGAATCAGTACAATTTTGATATATACATGTTATTTATATATGCATGTTATTTATTAAATAAAAGTGTTAAATATTTTGTAAAAATTTTATGTGAATGTCATATGGAGGTCAAGCGATAAAAAATAATTGATTCATTGTAGACAATTTTTTACAATTAAGGTAAAAATATATATATTTATTTTATATAAAAAATGTTGATAATATATGTAGTGAACATATAACTTAATAATATTTGTTAAACGTCATATTTAAGTTGAATGATTGAGATTAAAGTTTGATTTAACATGATACATAATTTAAAAATTTAGAGTGCAAAGTATATATTTTATTTTTTAAGTATTAGTTTATACAATTTTCTAAGTTCAGATAGTAAAATGGTAATTAACTCTATTGAAAATAACAACAAAGGTAGGGTAATATTGATACAAAATTTTATATCCCACATCTAATACTTTATTTTGTAGAGAATAGGGGAAGGAAAGTGTGTTCATGTGACATTTCTTTTTCTCGAAGATGACAAAATCACACATATTCGATAGATTTTAATTTATCTCAATTCAATTGATATCTTTTTTTCTTTTAAATTTAAAATAATTGGATTGAAATTTTTAAAATCAGGGCTTAGAGTAAGATAATAAAATGGTATATAAAAATATTTTATTATTTATTTAATTCTATATTTATATATTTTATTAAAAATATTATTTAATATTTTAATTTAATAAATTTGTGAGCGTTTTATTTGGCTTTTTTGTTATTTTTTTTATTTAAAAATTTTATTTATTAGATAATTTTGTAAAAAAAAAAAATCAATGTATATAGGGATGACAAAAAAATCTATATTTGATAGATTTTGATTCATCATGATTCAATTAATGTGGTTTTTTTTTTTTTAATAAGGATTAGAGTAAGTTTTGCATTTTTAAATAATTTGAATCAAGTCAGGATTGATTTGAAATGTGTTGCCTTGCCTGTCATTGGGATATATAAAAGAATATGTTTTATTGTTTATTTAATTTATATTTATATATGTATAATGTTAATAAAAATATTATTTAATATCTTAATTTAGTAAAAAAATTACATTTATATATAATTAAATTATAATTTATATTAAAAAATAAATACCCTTATATTCATTTATATATTATCATTAATTAAAATTTGACATAAAAATTTTACTTCTTTCATATTTAAAATATAATAAAAAAAATCCGACAATGAAGTACGAGTCTAATTCTAGTGAGAATAAAGAATATAGAAATTGTTAGGTTTGTGTTTCTTTTTTGCATGGTGTAAAGAATATGGGAGAGATGCCTATCAACCACTGGCATAGCCGCATGTCTTTGTGAGGTCAATTGAAAAGTTTTAAGTAAAGAATAGAAAATTTTATGTAATTTTTTTATATTGACTCAGTCAAATTCAATAAAAATATAAACTGAGGGGTTAAGCAAATAAAATTTCATTAAAATTTTCATTTAAAAAAATAAAATTTTCATTATTCCTATAATGATTATTAATATTAAATTTCAAAAAGATAGAAGTCTTTACAATTGTTTATAAATATAATTATATGTTAAGCACATATGTATGATACTCAAATTTTATTAAAAATGAAAATAAATCATGATATTTTATTACATTAAATTAAGACTATCAATTTTTATTTTATTGTAATTATATTTTGCCATTATAAAATATTTAATCTTTTAAAAGCTTTTTAATTGGATGATGTAATTTACAGAAAACACCTAGATAAATAACAAAAAAAAATAATCAATTATATTCAATTCAATTTATAAATTCAAGAATGATTATATCATAAGCATGATTGCATGAGATAATACCACATTGTAGTAATTTTTTATTTGAACTATACATTTTTAATATTTAAAACAATTGAATCTAACACAAATTTTTTAATAATACAATATAAAAGTGTTTATATGTTTACATAAGATATTAATATGACCCCATTAAAATTATTTTTTGCTTAGGAAAGGGATGTCTATTTTTCAAACTAATAAATTTGAGTTGAGAAGGTTCGGACCAGCTTGTAAATTTTGAGAAGTCAATGCTATTTTTTTAGCAAAAATACTCCTGGTGATGTAAGAGAGGTGGTAAAACAACAGCTAGGGATCAATGCTACTAATGATCCAGAAAAATATTTGGGGCTAGCTACGATGATTGGAAGGAATAAAAGGAGATCGTTCAGGGAACTGGTTATTAAGATAATGATGCAGATTCAAAACTGGAGCAAGAGGTGCCTTTCCCAAGCCGGGAAGGAAGTTTTCATTAAATCAGTGTTGCATGCTCTACCAGCATATGCAATGAGCTGTTTCCTTCTTCCAAAAGGCTTTTGTGAAGAAGTTGATAGCATCATAAGCAATTATGAGTGGAGCTCAAAAAAGGATAAGAGAGGGCTGCATTGGTTAAAATGGAATAAGGTTTGTTGAATGAAGAGTGAGGGGGAATGGGATTTCGAAACTTCGAATGTTTCAACTTAGCTCTTTTAGGGAAGCAGGGCTACAGGTTGGTCAAGAATAACAAGTCCATGGTTTACTGAGTTTTACAAGCAAAGTACTTCCCCGGAACAAAATTTCTAGAAGCACCATTGGGGTCACTGCCTTCACTCACGTGGAGGAGTATATGATCTACCCCAGAAGCATTGAAGGACGGCTTAAGATGGAGAGTTGGAGACGGCTCAAGGATTTGGGTATGGCAAGACAGGTGGTTGCCAGATGGTCAACTGCTAACATACTCACCTCGACAGAATATATTGGCAGAGGATGCATTTGTGGAAGAATTAATAGAAAGCCAGGGCAGGTCATGGAAGAGGGAACTGATTCAAGAAATCTTCGGAAAGGATATGGCAGATGTAGTATAATGCTTGGCCACCTAGAACATAAAGATGAGCTTCTATGAGTGGGGAACGGACAGGCGACTATAGTGTAAGGAGTGCATACCAAGCAATTATGCAAAAACAGGGGAGGACATCAACACAGCCACCTGAAACTGACACAGTATGTATGGTACAGATGGAGCATAATGCTGGAATAGAATCTGGAAAATGGGAGTACCACCGAAAATCAAAGTTTTTGCATGGAGGCTGAATCATGGTGTTCTGCCAGTCTTATGTAACTTAAGGAAGCGCAATATTGGCACTTGCACGATCTGCCCTGAGTGTGGACAACACGATGAATTGGTGATACTGCTCTAAGGGATTGTGAGAGAGCACAGGACGATGTGGACAGAACGTGGACATGTAAATCTCATGCAGAAGACAAAGGGTGGCTTACTAGTTTAGCAAACTCCATGAACAGTGAAAGCTTTGAAAAGGGGCTCGTGATCTGCTAGGCTATATGGCACTGTAGGGAATCTAGTATTGAAAAGGAATGAATCTAGAACTGCTCAAGCAACCGCAAGCTTCGCTCTCAGCTATCTGGATGAATTTACGACGAGCCAAGAAAAAACAGAAAGACAATAGGGAGGATATTACAAAGTTGGAAACTGCCACCAACCAACATTGTCAAAGTTAACTTTGATGGGGCTATAAATCTCACAAATGCAACTGGGGTTATTGGGATAGAGGCACGAAATGATAAAGGGGAGGTCTTGGGGTTAGCTTCAAAGCGAGTGGAAGGGATCAGGAATACTGAGGTGATTGAAGCCTATGCTGCTGTGGCTGGAATCATTTTTGCCAGGGAATTAGGCCTTACATCGATAATTCTGGAAGGAGATGCAGCTGAGGTTATTGCTAAGTTTCAGCAGCAGACAAAGGACTTATCTATAGTGGGCAGTATTCTAGATGAGGCAAGACTTTGATCGTTTTGAGGTAGCTCACGGAAGGCGCCATGCGAACGAGGCATCACATAGACTAGCTAGGCTTGCCTTGGATATGGAGAGTGATACTTATTGGGTGGAAGATTACCCCCAATTATAAACGATGTTATTAGGAAAGAATGTATTTCTCCAGTTGTTTGATCAATGAAGGTTCCTTTATTCTAAAAGAAAAAAAATGTTTCACAATAATGATTTTGGTTACTTACCTTTTGATCAGGTTCCTTTAATTTAATGCTCACAAGCAAGGAAAAGTGATATAGAATGTTCATTACTTCTAGAAGGGATGAAATGCTTTGGAAAGTTTTATGTTATCAAAGGCCGATATAAACAATCCTCCAATATACAAAATTGTTGTTACGAATAAATAAATAAACAATCACAAAGGGAGTTGTTGATATTTGATCAACGAGCTAAACAGTAAGATTAGTGTGCGAGCTAAGAAGTAAGCACTTGTGACTTATAAAGGGATTGATTATCTTCCTTTCTAATAATGTTTTTTTAATAAATATTTTAAATTTGTATAAAATAAAAATAATTATTTTATATCTAAATTTATTTTAAAATATTAAAAATTATATTAAATAATATATAAAATTAAAAATTAAAAATTTTGATAAATTAAATTGAATTAATGAAATTCAATTCAAATTTTATAAAATTTTAATTCAAATTCGAATTGAATTTTAAAAATTTATAATTTAATATATTATTTTAAAAAATCAGACCAAATTCATTTCAACTCAAACCTTCATTACCTGTACTAATTTTCTTCTGCAACTGAAAAAACAGGATTCAATGACCCGATCCATTCCTAGGAAAACTTTATTAAAAGAACAACAGAAAAGAATACACAAACCCACTTCAGAAACAAGATTCTGGTGGACTGATAAAAATTGAATTAACAGGTCACGAGTACAGCTGACTATTCCTATATTTATGTTGCTTATTTCATACGTAAAATATAAAAATTATCATCGTATAATTTATGTTAATACAATAAATATAAACTATTTTTTTTATTTTTATCAAATACATGATTTATACTAAAATTTTAAATTATTTTATTTTTATATCTTTTTCATATTATATCATTTTATTATGTTTAAAATGAGCAAATCTTCAACACTAAAAATTAATTTACAAATGGATTTAGAAATTAATTTTCAATTGGATGATCGAGGTTTACAATCAGAGCGTACAATTTAACAATGATGCATGATACAACATAAACCTATTCGAGAGCTAAGCTATCCACTCAGTTTGAAAACTTCACTTCTAAGTTTTCAAAAAAAATTTAGATAAAAAATTAAATCTCGTAAAATAAATTTAAACATAATTTTTTTATTTATTTAAAATTTAAACAAATCTTAAACAAAAAAATTAAAAATCATCCCAACCCAACCTGAATAAAATATATATAATTAAAATATTATAATTATAAATATATATATGTAAATTTTTATTTTAATATTTTACTTTTAAAAAAAAGGATTTTTTTTAAATTTTTTATTATACAAATTAAACTTAATAAATCAATTTGAAATTTATTTTTTTAATTTATACCAAACTTGATTAAAATAAAAAATCTAAACCAAATATGAACACATATAAATTATTAATATGAAGCACAAACCTAACCCAAAATCAGCCTATAAACACCTCATATTATTAGTAGAAGATATCCTTGAAGGCGAAATATGGGGACACAGGAATCAGTGAACTAACACTAGCAAAGAAATCATCAAACAAGACGAATTGAGCAGGGGCATTAAAACTACTTCATCGCTACTTCAAATCCACATGTCTCCATTGGATTTACAGCAAGAGGTAAGAAAAACAATTCAATAAATGTTCTAAGGGCCTCCTAGAAAGGGAAACACCATGTTATACTGCTACACCGTGTAATACAATTTCAAAACAGGTAATCAATGGTGGGTGAGAGTGAAATGTGCTCCACAAAGGGCCTTTGAGAACTTAACAAAAGGAGTAAATATTTGATTACCTTGGCGCCTCATATATCACACAGCTGGGAAATATTTGTTCAGATTGAAGGGGAGGGAATAAAATTCTTCACTCCTTGAATCGCCCTTGAATGACCGGAACTTGTCCCACCAGTGCTTGCCTCTGTCCTTCCTAATGTCCTTGCGATGCAATGTGTTATCGAGGAAATATGCCAAGCAACCCGCAACAAATGCTTCCGATGATAAAGGCACATTTACAATATCGTTGAACTGTTAAGGCATGAAATCTTGTCAGTAAGACCCAGTTAACTAAAATGACTATAACAAAAGGCTATGTAAGTTTTTAAAAAATAAGTTAAAAGAGATTTAGTACTAATACCCATCTCGTGCCGGTGTGAACAGGACCATAGCCATTAATTGCAGTATATTCGTTGAAGTACTGTGGCACGGATAAGCCCATAAAAACAGAGAAGCCTAATATAAACTTCGTACGGAAGCTGTTGAGGTTGCAGAACTGTAGAAAACTAAGGCCTCCAGCACCTGTAGAAATACGAGGAAACAGAATATATAAAAGACTTGAAACAGCTTACCATAAATCATGATCCACATGTTTGCTTGGGAACAGCAGAGATGGGACACATACCGACATAAGCAAAGAATAGGCAGTACAAAGCAGCAATAATGGGCGCTGGAATTGAAGCAAAGACTGCTCCAAATTTCCCTGTGCATTAATTATTAAAATCAACAATTAATATGAAAGAAAGAAAATGCTAAAGGGCTATTTGGAACAAAATCTCATAAATCAGTAAATTACCCAAAATAGAGAAGAAAATCATAAATCCAGCTGAGATTTGAACAACCCTTCGGCTGCCAACTCGTGTTAAGGCTAAAAGACCAGCATTCTCTCTGTAGAAAGACCAAAGTTAGCATACAAATTCTGTTTTCAATTAATTGAACAAAAAGACAAGGTCCAATACTAATGTTTATTGCCAGTCAGAGCCTTACACAGAGACTGAGGATCCATTGACAGTTCCAAACAACCCTGAGACCAAAATTGCAACTCCCTAAAGCAGGCAAAAAAAGAGTTACTTCACAACAGAAAAGAATGCAGTATTAACATGAAACTGAAGTTCAGCAAATGCAGATGAAATTCCAGATGTTAAACAGAAATGCGGTCCTGGCTCCTGGGGCAATGATGAAGAACGGATGAATATGAATTCATGAACCGTTAGGCACAAGATTAGAAGTGTAGCATTCGCATGTGATCATGGAGTGTAAGACAGCCAACTCAATTAATAGTCTTAATTGCACAAAATTTCTTCACATTATAAGCACACGAATTAACAAGCTTTTTCAATTTACCTGCCAACCAATACCACGGCTAAGAATAGATGGTGGCATTGGAGTTGCACTTGCATATCTTGACACCGCAATAAAAGCCCCAGTGGACTGCTCATGACATCGGACAGGTAAAAAGTTAGTAAAATTTGAATTATTAAATAACACTGCAATTAACTATTAACTACCAAAGATTATGAAAGAATTTACTCGGGTGCATGTTAAACAGCAATATAGACTAAATAATTCACCAAAGATAACTGAAAAAGGTGATACTTTTAACGCTAGGGGAGAAAATGAAAAACTTTGAGCCAGTTGATACAAGAGTTGAAATAAAATGGCAGTGCAGGAGTCCCTAAGAAATGACATGAAAGGAAAAGGACCGCAATAAGAGAAACAACGTTGATGACAATGATACTCAATTCAGTTTTTTAGTTTATAAAGATCAAAATAAGAAAAGAAAATGTTTCAGAAGTTAATAAAATTCATAGATAACAGAAGAAAACAAACCTCTACAAGAGCAACAAAAGAAGCCATCATCATAGCAAAGGCTTCACCAGCATCAAATGAAGGTGCTCCCCATTGAAAGGGATAAGGAACTCTTATCCTGCAAACCCCTAATGCTCATAAGGAGCGATTATAACTATGCCATTCTTGACATATGATATCATATTATGGCAAAAGAAATCTTAAGGTTGTTATCAAACACAAGTGCAAAATGTTTGTACCTTAAATTATGCATTCAATTAACACCTTTGAAGTGGTGAATCATGCCTAGGACCAAAACTGTTGACACTTTCTAAATAAATTACCAATTAATATTTCATAGAATAGAAGGCAACTAGAGCTAGGATTTAGAACATCACAAGCTTTATCCAATATGTACCGAAATAGTTAATTTTTATAATCAGAATTTCCTCAGAACATATAAACACCAGTCTTGGCAAATCAGCTTGCCCATACTTCAAAATGTGTGACCTTACCGATTCAATTGATAGTGAAACCCTATGATTTAAGAAAAGGTACCCTAGTAAGAAAATTTTTGCATGTGCATCTCATCTCAAAATAAATAATTAATAGGTAAAATCATGCGTGATATACAAATTGAGAAAACAAAGAGGACAACTGCCCTAAGGATGCTGCATGAACTCACCATGGAGCAGCATCTATTAGACCAGCACGATCAGTGCGGCAGCTTATTTGTGTCTTTGGTGCTTTACCATTATAAGCTCCACCCACAGTGAGTAAATGAGCATAAATCCAAACAACAACCACTGAAAATATGACAGCAAAACGATCAAAGACATGTCTTCCAGATTTTATCACATGAGGCAAGTACTGCAAAATAAACACAGACAATTAATGATTATTCGATAAAAATTATAGTTTCCAAAGTCAAATGAGATCAAAAGTCACAAATATATGGGACTATAACTATAAGATGATTAACTGCATGTCCCAAAAATTAAAAGAAACTACCTGTGAGATAAATACTATAAGAATTAGCTGAGGCAGTCCAATCTCCACACATTTGGCAACCTAATAATTGAAACAATAGTCAACATCCATAGTGATGATATAATACCATGTCAGATACATTTACGTAACGAAGGAGAGACTTACCCCAGGAAAACCAAACTCATAAAGCCCAAAACCAACTAGAGATACCAAAGGAACAACTGAAAGTGGACTTAAAAACCTGAAAAATGGAAAAAATAAACCAATATGATTAAAATGAGTGAATTTTAAAATTCTCACTAAAATATTTGACTTTCTTCTAAATACCCTGTAGAATATTCAAGTGAATTAGCAAGTATTAGTCCAAGAACCTATAATTCAAAAACTGGATCCACTTACAATAACTATATTAAACATATGTGACCAAGATACAATCAAGCTAATTCCAATTTACTTACAAGGACAAGCGTATATAGTGAAGCTGTTCAAGCTTTCCACGGAATATTTAGCACTAGTCAACTAACCTTGTCACATTGCGCCAAAGGCCACTGAACCCGAGGACAATCTGAAGAGTTGAAGCGACAATGAGGGAGCCCTGAATTGCCCGCATAATCCTTTTAAATCTCTGAAAAGGGATAAAAAAAACTTTAAACAAAGCAAAAAAAAACTCCAATATGCAAACAACTTAATAACTCCTTTTTCTGTATATTTACTTTCTCAAGTAATAAACTATAAAAAGCATCTAGAATATGACACTTTAGAATGAAAATGGGTAATAAACTCCTATTTAGAAAAAACGGAATTAATTCAAAACATCTTTATACTGTTCTTTCAGTGAGATGTTAAAGACTGATGACATATGGTATCACATCAGGAACATTCGCTGGATAGAAATTGTCACATATTGCAATTGGCATCTTGAATTTTTGGCCCTTGAACTATGGAAGAAAAGGTCAATTCGGCCCCTCATCTTTCATTGAGGTCAATTCGGCCCTCATCCTACTATTTGCATTCAATTTAGCCCAAATGTAATGGAAAGCTACCGATTCCGTCTCAAGTCAAAATCTAGAGTTGAGTTGCCATGTGGAAGCTTACTTGACCATCTACTCGAACTTCAATATGTGGCATTTAAAATGCTACATGTTTGATGACATGGCATTATTACAAAAACCAAAAAAAATTTTTACTTCCAATTTTCCTCCCCTTCTCTCTCTACAATTTCTCTATAAAACTCAAACTTCATCCCTCTGCCCAAAATCTACCGCCGACCACTGCTCAACAAGGTCAAAATAATCCGAAAACTCCCCTTGATCTCCTCTATCTTTATTAGCTTAGTTTATTCTAAAAGGCCCTAAAAATCCCTAAATCTAAAATTCAAACCCACGACTCCTCGTTTCCGCCGCTCCAAAATGCCTCAAAATTCACTATGTTTCTCCTCAAACTCCACTATGTTACCTAATAATGGATTGTTGTTGTTGCAGAAGAGGCATGGCTAGCCGTAAATCATTTTTATTTTCTCTTTTGGGATTTGGCTCAAAATTTCATCCATTATATCCATGTTTTGGGCTTCAATCACGCTGTTGTCCTTGTTCTTGTCCCCTTCCCTTTACCAGGCACACTGATAATTAACTTCACTCTACAACCACTGAGCTCCAGATAATCTTAGGGTCCTGGGCTTATTCTTGGAAAGAAATGATGAAAGTCAGTTAGAGGCTCGATTAATCCAGTCAGATTTTAGAGGTTTTGGTTACGTTTTCAAAGGAGATCAGACCGGGACTTGGGTTTCGGGTTTTCTAGATTTGTGAGACTTGGGATTTCTTTTCGGGAAACTGAACCAAAAGAAGGAGAAAAGGAATAAAAGGAGTGAGGAGTGGCCTTGGACAGCTGTGCAAGGCTGTGGCAGCTGGGTGTTTCAGGTTTCTGATCCGTGGGTTTTAAGGCTCTGTTTCGGGGTTCCAACCTACCCTAGAGTTAGAAGCAAAGGAAGTAGGGAGGAGAAGGGACTAGTGGTCGAATGATGACCGGAAAGGCGGTTGACAGCAGTAGAAGGCTGTTAAGTTTTTTGGGCTTTAGAGAGAGCGGCTATTTAGAGGAAGAAGAAAGAATTTTTATTTGAGAAAAAAAAATACATTTATTGGGTTGCCACATCATCAACCGCAATACCATGTGAACTAACATGTTGCATTAACTGCTGATGTGTCATACCAATGGCAATCCAGGTGGCAACGGTAACGGACTGTAGCACGCGATTGACTTCCATTTAAATCTGGTCAATTTGATAAACATAAAAGAATAAGGGCTAAATTAGCTTTATGTGACAACAATATGATCAATTTGACAAAATTAAAAGAAAATTGGCTAAATTAGCTTTATATGACAACAATTTGGGCTATATATATAGGTAGATGGGCATAATGAATTGAATGGCGAAAATCAGAGGGAACCGAAGGAGATTGAGACTTTCGTTAGAAGGTATGTCTTTGAATGTAATGCAGCGCAACGCACAGCAGACAAAGGATGTTGCTCCAACTCAACAGTGGATCCCCAAATAATGGTCTCCTCAAAGTTGACTTTGACGCAGCATTAGATCGTCAGAACAAAAAAAAAGATGCAGTTTTCGTGATCAGGGACTCCATGGGAGAAGTTTTTGAAGTGCTGGAGCAGTTATTCTCCTAAATATTACTGATTCTTTCAAAGCAAAGACTATGCAGCTGTGCAGGCGTTAAGAGGTAGCACAAGACATGAGATTTAAACAATCATCATTGAAAGGGATGCATTAATTGTAGTAAATGAGTTGAAGTTTGTCCAATCGAATCTGTCAGCTCCCGGAGTTTATACAGAGGAAACAAGGATAAAATGATACTTTTTCGAATTTGTCAAATGTCACATAAACTGAGAGGCGGCAATATGACTTCACACTTGTTAGCCAAACACGCCCTAAATATTGTGGAGAATGTATATTGGGTGTGAGGAGCCCCACTATAATCTCTCATGTTTTGTACTCTGATTTTCATCGAGACAATTGAGTGAGCTCTTTTTTCTCAAAAGAATAAGGGCTAAATTAACCTCAATAAAAGATAAGGGACCAAAATGACCCATTTTTCAAGGTTAAAGGGCCAAAAATGTTATCATGCCTATTGCAATTGGGTAAATGCTTGCTTCTCCAAATTTAGAAGCAACTTTAGCAATTCCGAAGTTCAAACATACATTGGCTAATATGGTAAAATGGAGTTTAGATCACAAAACCTGGATAGGATCTGTAGTATCACTGAACCGACCAGCAAGGATAATTGAGATTGTTGTTGGGACAAAGGTGTAAGACCCTCCAATAACAGCAGGCAATCTAGACCCAAACAGTGACTGCAGCAATGTGTTCAAACCAGCAACAAAGAGTAGAGTCTGGATCACCTTTGCTTTCTCCTCCTATAGTATAGAGGTCATTGCAATAACATTATTATGTCCACACAAAATACCATAGTAATCAAAGTAAGGAACAATTATTGATTTATTTTCTTTGGGCCTTACATTTCCACCTCCCATCTGGGGAACAAGAGAAGTGGGAATGATCACTGTGGTGCCAAGCATCACAAGATAATGCTGGAAACCAAGAAGGATAGCCTCGGCTACATCAAATAAAGACCAAAATGTCAAGAGATCAGAAGCAATTTTTCTACCAGCCTACAAATGCCAGTGATAACAGCAGTTAATCACAAAATAGCCAAGTGCAGGCTTATCCACAATAGTTATGTAATATATTCAATCCACACCAAGACAATTAATGAAAATTTCCTTAAATTGTTTGAAGTAGACATAGAACACCCCAGAAAATGAAGATAGCGAGGAGCAAGTAGAGGTGAAAGACAAACAGAAAGAGCCAAATAGAAGGGGGAAAATGCTAATCAAAGTTAAACCAAAAGGAAGTCAATCAGCAGAGAGGAATTGGCTTCCAATTAACTCTAACCAAATCAATAAGCATATAACTTGAATTGCCATCCTTAGTAACCAAAGTGACATAAACGGAAAGATTTGTTTTTTTTTTTGAAAAAAAAGCATATAGACATATATATTTATGTATGTGTCTATGTGTGACTCGTTCAATAAAATAAACCCAAACATTAGTACAAGAATTATCAAAATTATTTATGTTTTCTTTTTCTTTTCTTTTCTTTTTTTTTTCTCATCCTTACAGAATTAGAATGTGAAATAAATAAAAACTAAAAAGAAAGTTCATTGTTTTGCAAAAAAGTGGCATTTTACTTTTCCAAAAGGGCATATCTAAGCGTAAAGAAGAACCCAAAAAAGCTACTTACTTTCAGTTAAAAAAAGAATGTACAGAAGATGCATATCCAACAACAATTACTACTGCCAAAACCTTACCTAAAACATTCCGTGGTGGATTCACTAGAATCACACTCTAAGCCAACCAAAAATCCAACATAATACCTCAGGTACTCAGCATAAAATTTAGAATCTAAGCTGTCAAAGCCAGGACAAGAAAAAAAAAAATGAACAGCAGGGTTGAAGAAACTCACGCCATGGAGGTGGACTTGTAATGCAATAAGAAATGTTGGGCAGCTGTTCCTTTGGTGGATGTGGCTGTGGCTCATCTGCTTTGGCTGGAGCTCCTCCTCCTGCCATGATATCTCTCTCTATACAAAAAACAAAAAACCCCTACTTAGAATCACTAAGAGAACTACTAAATCTGAGAACTACCCAGATCCCAAATCCAAAAGAAAATAACTAAAACAGCAAAATGCTAGAGAAAAAGGGCAAACAAGTTGGCCCAAAAGGCCAAAAGAGTGAGCCACTTACATGTACAGCTACTGATATAGAGCTAATAAAGGGAAGAAAAACAAGGAGATGGGTTCTGAGTAAGGTTAAGGGACAAAAAATGTGGAACTAAAGAAAAAAGATAATCAAATCTTGACAAAAGATTTCAACTTCGAGAAGATGGAATGAAATGTGGGGGAGCAAGGAATTGTTAATAATTGCAACAGCTAAATAATGAGCCAAAATGTTGCTACCAGAAAGAACCTTTTGGCAAAGTAAAATCAATTGCAAAGGCATTAAAGTCAATAATAAATAATGTTACCCCACACAACCTAAAAATTGTTCCAATGAAGCATAAAATAAACAGAGCAAAAATTGCTGAGGAAAATTTTTAAAAAAAAAAAAAGAGAAAACCCAGTGTTTTTTGAAGCAAGAGAGTGGAATGGGAAATTCATATGAGAATCCAGAAATGTGTAGGCAAGTTAAGATCGAATTGAATGATACAAAGGAGTGCCAACTTACTTTCTACTCAAGCCTTTTTTTTCCTCACTTTTTCTCTCTATATGAAGCAGACAAGGTCTTTTGTTCCTTGTCTGCAAACTACAATTTTTTAATTATATGGAAAAAAAAAAAAAGATTTAAGTAGTATTCATTTTCTGTTTTTTTTTGCAATTATGAAAGCAGAAAAAATGCTGGTAAAAACTTGAAAACAAAACTTACAAGTTTTATAGATAAAGTTTGTAGAATTTTTTATAATAAATGAATAACATACAAAGTTTAATAAAAATTTTAAATTAATAAATTAATATAAACATTATTAATATATTAAAAAATTTTAAAAATATTATTTATAATTTAAATTTGATTGATATTTATTTAATTTTAAAAAAAATTTAATATTTTTATTTAAAATATCTATTTAATAAATTTATTAAAAAATTTTAAAATTTTAAATATTTAATTTATGTCATAAAATTTTTAAATTATCGATTGTTATTTTTAATTTTAATTTACCCATTTTTAATTAAAAGAACTTAAAAATCTTCATATTTCATGGAAATCTTTTCAAGAATCTCCATGGAAATTTTACTGACGAGAGGAAGAAGAGAGTAGAAAACGACGTCATATGAGGTTGTCTTGGCAATTTCAAGTGCCAGCAGTTCCGTACTTCCCTCAGGAAAGGTTGAACTGTAAAAGCGTACACCTAGTTTTGATAACCTACACGTTCTTATCTGGAAAATGACGAGGTTGACGTCGAAAAGTGGGCAACCACATGGGCATGTTTACGGACCTTCACTCTTTCAGTGGCTCAAATCATGGACTTTGTATTTCAGATTAAATTAAATTAATTAATTAAATAGATTTAATTTATTAATTAATAATTATTAAAAATAAAATATTTAATGATTTTATTTAATTTATTTTAAATTGATTAAAAATTAAAAATTTAAAATTAATAAATTTGATTTTATTAATAAAAATAAAATAAATTTCGAAATTAGTTGAATGAACAATTCTAGCTCAAATGATTGACGCGTGGGGCCAATGTGGAGAATTGGGAAATGATGATTATGTGTGGGGCAGTATGTTTGAATCGGATGGGGTGCCTCAAATTAAAGGTCAAGAATGTAAATAAATAAAGTTTTTGATAAATTATTTATAAAAATGTTTAATTTTTATTTATTTATATTTATTTATTAAATTTAATAAATAATTTTAAATAATATTTTTATATTCATTTATTAAACAAATTGAAGATGAGTATAATTTTATTTAATTTATTTATATTTATGAATAAATTTATTTAAAATTTGTTTATTTATTAGTTATTTATAATAATTTTAATAAAATTATATTTTATTTTTTATTTTAATTATATTTAAGATTTATTTATATTTATTTAGATTCATTTAAAATTTATTTATTTAAATTTATTTAATTATGATTTAATTATTATTTATGAATATATTTGATTATATATATATTTATGGATATATTTATTTAATATTTACGAATAAATATATTTAATTTAATTAAATAAATATAAATCAAATGTGAATAATTTATTATTTAAATAAATAAATAATAATTTTTAAAATAAATATATATATTAAATACAAATATTTTTAAAAATAATCAAATAAACCATAGATATACCTTTATTTACTCATAATCCATTCTCGATTCGTTTTCGGTTGTCATAAGGGCGGTGGAGCAAAAAGGGAGAAATTGTTACGACAGTCAAAGCACGTTCCCATGAATGCGACCTCAAGTCTCGAGTGAAGTCATTGCTGTCTTGCTCGCTGCTATGCCTCGACCAACCCTTCAGTCAAAACTGGATGCTAGCGCCTATTAAATTTGCTGTTTTACTTTTCTTTGGCCCAAAGGAGCCAAACTCCCATCAATTTTGGCTATATGCCAGTTGATATTGTTTTTTATCATTTTTTATAACATTCGGTTTGGTTTCCTCAAAAAGGAAAATAACATTAGGAATGGTTTCTGCACCCATTGAGATTTTGAGATAGGCTCAAGATTTTTGTTCACTGCCCAAATTGTAAAATTTTTAAGTTCGATCTAAATTTCTCGTCTTGCTTTTTATTTTGAGAACAACAATTTAAATCAATTTTTTTAAACAAAATGATTCATGTATTTATAATTGAATTAAATATTCAAGTTCAAGAATCTTTACATTTCGATGATCTTTTTTAATTTCAGTCAAAACTTGTCGGTACATTGTATTTTTTTCATTTTTTGGGGAAAAGTATAACTTATTTAGAGATTAACAACAATTACCTTTTATAAGATAAGCTTTTTGAAGAAAAAAACTCTTAATTTAATTCATTCAAATTAGAGATACATGTACCTTACTGTTATGTCAAATATTCAGTTATTAAAATAAAATTTTAATAAATTTAAACAAAGAATTTATGAATATTTATTATCATATCCATATCTAATTGGATTACTCGAAATTGGATTACATGGATTACTCGAGATTGAGTTGACTCATAGAAAATTACTTTCATAAAGGGGCATATAGCGTTGAGTTATACTCTAAATTCATCATAAATATATGGTTTTAACATTTAACAAGTACAGTAGGAATGTAGGATGAGATTTATAGTTGTTAGTTGGGTGGGTCAAAAAAAATTTTTTATTAAAAAATCTAAGATCAAATTGGACCTATACCAAAGTCACATGTATTTCAGGTTAATTTAAAGCTGAAATCAAATGATTTAATTACATAAAATCCAACATTAGATTTGACCAACATATGTTTTGTTTTCAAATTTCAAAGATTTTCCAAAGAAGCCAAGAATTGAGGAGCCTTAAGAATGGGGACGAAAGAGAAAATAGTAGCATATGGTTGCAATATACAATGCGTGAATCTTAAAGGGGACCAATGAAAAAAAAAAGCTAGCCTAAAAGGATTCAATTTAGTATTGAGGAAGAGCTCCTTAAACTTGTCCTCTTCTGGGGTTGTTTTATACATAATCATCAAGTAATATCGTATAATCTATATCAATCAATCAATCAATAGCTTTTATTTCGGCGACGGGGCACAATTCAAAATCAGATTGGTGGTAGCTTCATAATGTTTATCTCGATTCACCTACCCTTAATCAAATGAAATTAAGAATAAGGAAAAGGAGAAGAGATTGGGGGGATGATGAAGGTAATTGAAATGAGGAAAGGAATTAAAAATACAAGAGAGAATGTGGAGGTAGCTTTCAGTTTTTTTGGGGATATCAAAAGTCAGCTGACCTTTGCTCATGGAGGGACCACTTTTTGGGAAATTCTCCGGCCCTATTGGAGAAGATATGGTTGTTTTGGTGTTCTCTCTCACTTGCTTTTTCTTGTTCATGCACAAACGAGCTTTTTTACTTTATAAGATAAATTATTGATAATTCAATTATGTTTTTATTTTTAAAATGGTTATTTAATTATTTAAATTTAAATAAATATGTTTTATCACTTAACTATTAATTTTTAATGATACGTTAGCATCACCTTATCACGTCAACTATCAAAATTAATTGATATTGTCACGTCATTTTTATATCCAATACATGTCCTATATGTTAATGTTTAAAGATATAATTCTTAGAGTTTGAGTCGATATAACTTTATAATCGAGTTTAAACTCGAGCTTTATTTGAAATTTGATATTTAAAATTCGATTCAAATTTGATTAAATTTTATTTTTTTAGTTTGAATTCGACTCAAAATAAAAATCGAACTAATCGAATTCATTAAATTAAATTTGATTAATATGTAAAAATAAACTGAATTTTTATACTCGATAAAAATTTAATTATTTATATTCAAATTTGAATTCGAGTTAAAAATATTTTATTAATTAAAATAATTAAAATATATTAAAATATAAAAGCTCGATTAAATTCGTGAATTATTTGAACCGATTTTAAAAATGCTCAAACTTAACTCGATCGATAAATCAAATTACTCAAGCTCGAACTTGAATTCGATAATAACTAAATCAAATTCAAATTTTATTTAAATTGAACTCAAATAACTTACAAGTACTAATATATCATTTATACCTATAATAATATCATATAACATATGATTATTAATGTAATATTGTTATGTTAGCACACTATTAAAATTTAACAGTTAAATAATAAAAAATATTTATTTAAATTTAAGTGATTAAATTAAACAAATTAATAGTTAGATAACTATGTTAAAAACACTCAATTATACTAATTATGTACTTTACCCTTTTTTTTAATTTTTTTACCAGCTTTATGATGATGATGACGATGATTCTGTTGACAAAATCTATATCTATACAGTAATTAGAATAGTAATTGAGGCCTAATGAAAGATTTAATTGGATGATCATTAATTCTATTTTTGGTTTGTATTTGATTTTTTTTAAAACATAAAAAAATGCAATTATTTATAATTTTATATTTGATGCACATGTTTTATCATATAATGATACCTTATTAAAAATTAATTCTAAAATTCTAAAAACAAATACACTTAATTTTAAAAATATATTTAAAATTAATTTTTTTAAATGATGTATCATTGTGAAGTTTACAAACAATGTATATTATTATATATTGACAATGCATCAAATATAAATAATTATTTTATTTATTTATTTTCTTTTTATTATTATGCACATATTTTTATTTGTATAATTATTTAATTACTTTAGTAAGCAATAACTTTTAAAAATTAATGAAAATAAAATTTATTAATTAAAAGTAATAATACTGGCCAAAAAATTAAACTTAATAATAAAAGATAATTATTTAAAAAAATCCTAAAATATATCTATTTAGTTACTGTTTATTAAATTAAATTAACTAATAAAAATTTTATT